ATATATATATATTTTTTTTTAAAGGACAAACAATAATTAATTTTCCTGATATTGTTTAGTAGATAAAAGTAAAATTTTATTGTATAATTTGTCCTGTTTAAAATGACACTGAAATAATTCTGGTACAAAGCATTGAAAAGTTATTTATAAATGAATTTAAAGTGTTACTAAACCCAGGACCCTGCATTCACTATATCTGGTCTCCCCGGACTCTGCATTCACTATATCTGGTCTCCCCCGGACCCTGCATTCACTATATCTGGTCTCCCGGACCCTGCATTCACTATATCTGGTCTCCCCGGACCCTGCATTCACTATATCTGGTCTCCCCGGACCCTGCATTCACTATATCTGGTCTCCCCGGACCCTGCATTCACTATATCAGGACTCCCAGGACCCTGCATTCACTATATCTGGTCTCCCCGGACCCTGCATTCACTATATCCGGTCTCCCCGGACCCTGCATTCACTATATCCGGTCTCCCCGGACCCTGCATTCACTATATCCGGTCTCCCCGGACCCTGCATTCACTATATTCGGTCTCCCCGGACCCTGCATTCACTATATCTGGTCTCCCACAGTACACACAGCACGGAAATGAAATTACTTTAGTAAATATAAATTGCTAAATACCTTTTCTCATCAGCAGTTAGAGCACTCTTGTGACTTCTGTTAGTGTCCAGCAGAGCGCTGGTTAAAGCTTGTAAGAGGTGTTTTCATTCTGCTCTAGGAGGATGCAGAACCCCTGACCCTTGTCTGGACAGTGCTGATTGGCTCTGTGCTGATCACATGCACTTTCCCAAGAACAAAAAAAAAACCTCTATAGAAATACACACCAAACTGAGCATGTGCAGAGTGTCTCCACACCATATGCCTTATCAGGAGATAAGAGGGGGACACTGGAAGAGGGGAAGGATCAGAGAAGTCAGGATCAAAAAGCGTTTTTACACAATGTGGAGGATTAACCCCTTAGGTTCCACAGTGAGTATAACAAGCATTACTGCATATACAGACTGATGTTACTGTTGTGGGTTTAGTAACATGTTAAGTTTTTTGTTCAATTTTGCACTTTTTCAATGTGTCACTAAAAAAAGTTAACAAACAAAACAAATAAAAATGATAAAAAAAAACCCATATCAACCCCTTCCCGAGGAGGACCCCCCAGGGTGCTGTACACAGCTTCCTAAAAACATCCCAGCACCCAGCCTCAGAACTCCTCTTAAGCGCCCTCAGACCTGATCCAATCAGTGGGACGCCTCTTGGGAGGAGCTATGCAAATATCAAATTACCTGGATGGGAGGGTGCCGGTCTGGAGGGGTGAGCATTGCTAGGCAGGCTGTAGTTGTATGCAGAGAGCTTACATTATTGAAAGAACTGAAATCCAATGAATAAAAGAGGCGGGCCAGGGACAGTCAGGCTGGGGAGGAAATCACTAGATGATACTGAGCGTCCTCCAGCCAGGAAATAAGGAGGGCTCTGTCTGACTTGCTGCAGCTTCTGATGCACTCACATTTTTTGATTGCACCCGTCTTTTCCAGACCAATCATATCCTCCTGCTTGTTTTACCACCTGCAGCTGGGCTCTGATTGGTTGCTGTGGGTTATTCTGACAGTACTGATTTGGGACAGTTATGCAGGCCGTAGATGGGTCGAAAATCGGCTGAAAAAAAAATTGGCCGATTTTTGGATCGTTAATGGGTTAATAGGTCGGCCGTTTTTCGGGATTTTGGCACATTTTTTCTGTTAGTTGAGTTGGAAAAAAATCGGCCGATTTTGCCGATCGGCTGATTTTCGCGGCAATTATGGGCAAATTGGCCGATCTTTTTACCGATAAAAAAATCTGAGAAGAAGAGAGGAAGAGGAAGAAGAGGAAGAAGGAGAAGGAGAAGAAGAAGAGGAAGAAGAAGAAGAGGAAGAAGAAGAGGAAGAAGAAGAAGGAAGAAGAAGAGGAAGAAGAGGAGGAAGAAGACGAAGAGGGAAAAAGAGGAAGAGAAGGAGAAGAAAGAAGAAGAGGAGGAGGAGGAAAGAAGGAAGAGAAGAGGAAGAGGAGGAGGAAGAGGAGAAGAAAGGAAGAAGAATAAGGAAGAAGAGAAGAGGAAGAAGAAGAAGAGACAGAGGAAGAAGAGGAAGAAGAAGGAGAAGAAGAAGAGGAGGAGGAGAAGAGGAGAAGAGGAAGGAGAAGAAGAAGAGAAGAAGGAGAGAGAAGAAGAAGGAGAAGAAGAAGAGGAGGAGAAGAGAAGAGGAAGAAGAAGAAGAAGAGAAGAAGAAAGGAGGAAGAGGAAGAAGAGGAAGAAGAAGGAAGGAGAAGAAGAAGAGGAAGAAGAGACAGAGGAAGAAGAAGGGAAGAAGAAGAGAGAAGAAGAAGAGGAGAAGAGGAAGAAGAAGGAGAAGAATAAGAGGAAGAAGAGGAAGAAGAGGGAGAAGAGGAAGAGGAAGAAGAAGGAGAAGAAGAAGGAGAAGAATTCCAGTCCGCGATTATATTTGACATGAAAAAGTATTGCGGTTGCAACAATGTATCCATTTGTATCCGAATAAAACCATCTGTATCTGAAATGGATACAAATAGATACATTGTTGCAACCGCAATACTTTTTCATGTCAAATATAATAGCGGAGCTCTCTGCAGGGACAGAAGTAATTAAATGCCGGCCGTAGACGGGACGAAAATTGGCCGATTTTTTTTTTTTCCGGTTGGTGGTAACGTCAGCCTATTGAGCGACCGATTTTTATTTTGTTTGTTAAAAAAACGGTCAGTTTTCGACCCATCTATGGCTTGCATTAGATGAAATAGGCAGCCCTCCCCTAATGAACATTTAAATGGGACAGAGGGAACAGGGAAGCCTCCAGATTCACGAGTTGTATCCAGTGACGACACCGGCCACAAATAGGAGAGCCATATGAAGCAGCAACAGCTGCTGAGATGAAAATAACCGCATAATAAACAGTCGAGGCTGACATGAACCTGACGGTGAATCCCAGGGCAGGGGTGACTACAGCTAGACTCTGGACACAGACACATTCAGAGATTTCTCAGGATCCGCAAGGGATAGAAATCTATGTGCACCAAATGCCTTTACAAACCCAGTTATTACCTTGTAAAAGTAGCAGTGACATCATCACTGTGCTGTACACACTGTGCAGAGAGTAGAACTGTGGGAGGGACCAAGCAGGCCCCACCCACTACAGGCTGCCTGATGAAAACTACAGAAGTGGGTGGAGACAAGACCAGTCACCCTGCACAAGTAGAGCGAGCAGCAGTGACTGGTCTGTATTATAATAATAAACTGTTTTGTTTTTTTCTTGGGAGGGTGCAATCAGTCTGTATATGTAGTATATCATGCTTGTTATACTCAATGTGGAACCTAAGGGATTAATCCTCCGCATTGGGTAAAAACAATGTTTGATCCTGTCTGCTATGATCCTCCCCTTCTTCCAGTGTCCCCCTCTTATCTCCTGATAAGGCATATCGTGTGGAGACACTCTGCACATTCTCAGTTTGGTGTGTATTGCTAGAGAGGGGTTTTTTTTTTTTTTTGTTCTTGGGAGAGTGCATGTGATCAGCACAGGGCCAATCAGCACTGTCCAGGCAGAGGGGCAGGGGTCCTGCATCCTCCTAGAGCAGAATGAAAACTCCTCCTACAAGCTTTACCCAGTGCTGTGCTGGGCACTGATAGGAGTCACAGGATTGTTCTAACTGGTGATGAGAAAAAAATGCATTGTGTAAAAACACTGTTTGATCCTGACATCTCTGATCCTCCCCTTCTTCCAGTGTACCCTTCTTATCTCCTGATAAGGCATATCGTGTGGAGACACTCTGTACATGCTCAATTTGGTGTGTATTTCTAAAGAGGTTTTTTTTTTTTTTTGTTCTTGGGAGAGTGCATGTGATCAGCACAGGGCCAATCAGCAATGTCCAGGGGTCCTGTATCCTCCTAGAGCAGAATTGAAAACTCCTCCTACTAGCTTTAACCAGTGCTTTGTGGACACTGATAGAAGTCACAAGACTGTTCTAACTGCTGATGAGAAAAGGCATTGTGTAAAGACGCTGTCTGATCCTGACTTTTCTGATCTTCCCCTTCTTCCAGTGTACCCTTCTTATCTCCTGATAAGGCATATCGTGTGGAGACACTCTGTACATGCTCAGTTTGATGTGTATTGCTAAAGAGGTTTTTTTTTGTTTTTTTTTTGTTCTTGGGAGAGTGCATGTGATCAGCACAGGCCAATCAGCACTGTCCAGGAGTCCTGCATCCTCCTAGAGCAGAATGACAACTCCTCCTACTAGCTGTAACCAGTGCTGATAATCAATAAAATATAAAATATGTCATACTATGTCATACTTTAACATATACAAAACATAAGAGGGGAATAATACATCAATGATACGAAATAATTATCAGTTCATACTCATTCTACCCAGGCTGCACATTCTCAAAAGCAATCCTTGGAGAGAAGGTACACAGCGCCCTCTGCTGTCTGCAAAGGTATAAAGCGCCCCCTTGCAGTCTGCACAGATCTACTGCGCCCTCTACTGTCTACCTGGCTTCAGGACATCGCCCGCTGATCTGAAAACGAGGCTTGAAACTCAAGTCTCTTTTGGCCCCCCCGCCTGCTGCTCCAGCCCAGGTGACTAAAATAGCTGCCCTTGGCGCCTGTGTCCTTGGTGTTACAATGTTAAATGAATGCGGGGGAAAAACAGGGATAGCGTATACAACAAATAAAAATATCTTTCACGAACATGGGCGTGAGAACTGCCACTGAGGCCCTTCATTTTACTGAAATTGCCGCCCTGTGTGCCAGATTGGTGTAGTCGCCAGAGTTTTGTAAAGAGGAGGGTATCGGGCTGCGGCATTGTGGGTATTATCACTGCGGGTGAGGTAGAAGTCAAGAAATACATTTATAAAGTGTTAGTATATATGGTCCGGCAGTATGAAGGCAGCCTGCTGGGGGTCCTCGGGTGTCCGCCATACTTCAGGGTGACTGGAGTTGGGGTGACCTGAGCGATGCCGGTGGACAAGGATGTGTACCCGGAGAGCGAAACCAAGACTCCCGTCCGGGTGAACAAGTCCGGCCTGCCAGATGTCGCCGACCTGCTCTTTAAGGTCTTCTATCATGCGGTGGACAGGCCGGTCACTTTCTTCCACGGTGAGGGGAGCCTGGACCTGCCTTCTGCTGCAGGGGGGACTACAAGGCCCAGCGTGCAATGCCCAGCCACAGGACCCAGTGCTTACCCAGGAACTACATATCCCAGCATTCATGTTATGGATGTGACGCCCCGGATCCTGGCAATCATTGTTTTGGCATCTCACCGTATGGCTGGCGTGGTGCCCTGGGGCTCTTGCAGTTGTGGCACTGCAGGTTCTGGTTGGTCAGCGGTTTGGCATCCCGCACGTAGAGTCCAAGCCCATAGCTGTCGTGGTGCCCTGGGTTCTGGCCTGTGGCTGTCAAGCCACCCCAAGTCCTGGTCGGTTGTTTTGATGGCCAGGACCCATTCTGTGGTGCCCTAAGTCCAATCATTTTGTTCCTATGTATTGCAAGCATGCTCATCTAAAGGGATGCCAATAGATTTGTTCTTTCATATCAGGCTCTTGACAGAAGATCCAAGGCAGGTTCTGTCATGTTTACAGACCCATTCCCAGGATGCAGCTGTTCTGGCAACCCGGGTCCTGGTTGGTCATTGTTTTAGCATCCCAGCACACAGAGTCCAAGCCCATAGCTGTCGTGGTGCCCTGGGTCCTGGCTTGTGGCTGTCAAGCTCCCCAAATCCTGGCTGGATGTTTTAGTTGTCCAGGTCTCATCCCGTGGCGCCCCAAGTTCAATCATTTTGTTCCTATGCATTATGGGCATGCAAATAATTTGTTCTTTCAAATCAAGCTCTTGACAGAAGATCCAAGGCAGTGTTCTGTCATGTTTACAGACCCAGTCCCAGGATGCAGCTGTTCTGGCAACCCGGGTCCTGGTTAGTCATTATTTTGGCGTCCCGGCACTCAGAGTCCAAGCCCATAGCTGCCTTGGGTCCTGACCTGTGGCTGTCAAGCAACCCCAAATTCTGACTGGTGATTGTTTTGGTAGTCCAGGTCCCATCCTGTGGCGCCCCAAGTCCAATCATTTTGTTCCTGAGCATTATGGGCATGCTTATCTAAAGGGATGCCAATAAATTTGTTCTTTCAAATCAGGATCTTGGCAAAAGATCCAAGGCAGAGTGTTGCGATATTTACAGACCCAGCCCCAGGATGCAGATGTTCTGGCATCCCGGTTCCTGGTTGGTCATTGTTGTTTTGGTGTCCCTGTCCATGGCTGTTGTGGCATCTCAGGTCCCGACCCAAAGCTGATGTAGTACGTGGCTATCCTGCTGCTCTGGGTGCTGACCTGTGCCTGTCACGGCACCTAAAATCCTTGCTGGTTGTTGATTTGGGGTCCCTCATCACAGCCCTTGTAAGCTTGGGTCCAATCTTCTTCCTTTTCCCATGCATTATGAGCATGCTTGTCCAAAGGGATGCTGGAGATGTGTTCTTTCAAATAAGACTCTTGACAGAAGAGCCAAGGTAGGGTGCTGTGATGTTTACAGACACAGTCCCAGAATGCAGCTGTTGTGGCTCCCCGCCTCCTGAGATTGTTGTGATCTCTCGTCCCATAGCTGTCATGGTACTTAGCTGTGCCACCACAAATCCTGGCTGGTTGATGTTTTGGTGTCCCATCCTGTAGCTCCCTAGGTCTGGTTTGTTCCCATGCCCAGGGCTTAAAATTTCAAGTCCTGAGCTACTAGCCAGGCCTTAGAGTTACACGCCACCAACAAACACACACAAACAGGGACACCTTTTCACACACACACATGTACATACACACACAGAGACACATGTATACACACACAGGCACGTACAGACACATGTACACACACGCACAGACATGTACACACACTGACGTACATACACACGCACACAGAGACACATGTATACACACACAGACATGTGTATACACACACAGACATGTATACACACACAGGCACGCACAGACATACATACACACACAGACATACATACACAGAAACATGTACACGCACAGACATACATACACACACACAGACATACATACACAAAAACATGTACACGCACAGACATACATACATACACACAGACATACACACAGAAACATGTACACGCACAGACATACATACACCAAAACGTACACAGACATGTACATACATACACAGAAACGTACAGACACGTGTATACACACACAGGCACGTAGAGACACGCATACACACAGATACATGTACATACACAGAAATACACACGCACAGACACATGTACACACAGACACATGTACGTACACACAGACATGTACAATTGTACACAGACACACACATGTACATGTATACACACCCCCCATAAAAAGTTGCAGTACTTCGTTGTTCACTCACAGATCCGGGTACTGCACTCTAGGGGGAGGCAGAGAGCACAGCACACACTCCTTGCTTTGCTTTCACTGCGCTCAGCTATTGAGAAGTCTGACGACTCCCAGTGCCAATGACCGATCCGGCCTGAGCTCCGAACCTGCTCAGCAAGACGGCTCTGGGGGACACATTTGCCCCCACCATAATTTCCACTCGCCATTGGCGAGTGGAAATTTCAAGCTCTGAATTACAGGTATGCTTATCTAAAGGGATGCCAGGAATGTGTTCTTTTAAATAAGCATGGTGACAGAAGCTTCTAGGCAGGGTGCTGTGATGTTTACAGAGTCAGTGATGTCACTTGGTCCCAGAAGAGGTATTTCTTGAAAGCAAAATTCTGTGCTTGGGAGATTTGAATTGACCGTGGATCAGGGTGAGCAGGAGACGGTATTATATGTATAAGTTTCACTTTATTTTTAAAGTGCTGTAAGTGTCCCAAACCCTGCAGGCCATCTAACACGTAGGCCTCATTCACACGGGACATCCTCAAGTGCGTGTCTGTGGAGGGCCGTGTTTACCCACATGGGATTGCACAGGTGTTCCTTGCATTCCTGTGCAGACAGTCCCATTGATGACAATTGGGATGCAGGGGCTGCACAGACACTGCTCTCAATCTGACATCCATGGGGGTGTATGTCCCTGAACACAGACAGATTGGGAGCACTGTGCAGTCCCCGTGTTCCAATTGACATCAGTGGAACATCCATGCATCACCATCTGGGCATGCACAGCCCTGCATGGGCGTCTGCTTTGGTACGCCCCATGTGAATGTCACCGAAAAGTGGAAGTGAAGGCAGAATTACCTATTCTCCAAGTTCCCATGGCAGTATCACCTCCCTGTTTTTTTTTTCTGGGTCCTGGTCATCAACCACCTCGATTGGCCAGGGCAGAATGACGTCAGTCCCATACATGTGCGGGTGTCCTTTATCCGGCACACTGGCGCTATGCCAGAAATGTATCGGAGCTGCACATGTGCCGATCCATGTACTTTCCACACGTGATTACAAATGGGCAGGTAAGTACAGACATTGCATCTCCTGCAATAAAAGACCCGCCTGCTTGCCACTCTCACGTTGTACATTTAGTGCCCCTTTAGGCCCCATGTACACGGGACGTTTCTGAACGATGCAAACTGCTGGAAAACGTAGGTTTAAAAAGTCAGTTTAGCTGCGTTTGCATAACGCGTTTATGCGCGTTTGCGTTTAGAAGCGTTTTTTAAAGATAAGCACAGGAGAACCTCCCAAATGCACAGAATGCACTGTAAAGTGGTAAATTATTAACTATTTCAGACTGTTTCAGAGAAATAAAGAGAGTAGAAGCAGAGACAGCAGTATGTGTTGAGATAATTAGGTGTGAGTTGCTCATTAACATTTCTTTTGTTTCCAAGGGTGGGAAAGGTGTCTGGTGGAGGGAGTCATTAAGGCCACCTGGCAGGGGGTCTGCATGAGGAATTTGAGGTGTGAATGGTCATTAACATATCTTTTGTTTCCAAGGGTGGGAGAGGTCTGAGGTGTGAATTGGTCATTACTATGTGTGACAAGCTTGGTAGGAACATCCTGTGTTCAGTGTTTTGTCCATCTAAGTACCTTGAAAACACTTTGCATGCATTTTCCATGATGAAAAAAGGTTCTGGACAGCAACTGGAAAGAGTTAAAAAAAAAAAATTGCAAACGCTTATAAACGCGATTTGCTGTGTTTAGCCACGTTTACAAGCGTTTTGCGTTTGAACCGCTGATAACATCGACGTCTGAAAGTTTGTTGCATTCAAAAAAACGACTGTAAACTCAACTGCCTGTAAACGACGATGTGTACATGGACTCATAGGAAATCATTAGGGAGAGTTCAGGGGCTGCTGAAAAAAAACGCAGAACAGCTCCTAAACGTGAGTTTATCAGCTGCAGTGTACATGAGCCCTTAAAGTGAAACTCTCCAGTTTTGTTGAAGGAAACCCCCCCCCCCCCCCCCCCCCCCCCCCCCCCCCCCCCCCTTTTTCTGTTGAAGTCCTTTAAAGTTCTGTATTTATTCTTTTGCAGACTGGATGGAACGTCAGCGAGCCAAGAGAAAAAGCTATTACTACCACCGGGTGTTCCAGCGTGTTCCGGACCTGTCCCAGTGTCTAGAAGATGATCTCATGTGTCAGTACGAAGCTGAAATGCAATGGAGGAGAGACTTGTAAGTTTCCTTACTCAGCCCCTCAGACAGAAAGATGACCCAGGTGCACGTGCCCCTCTTGTGCTGCTTAGTGGGAATTTGTGTCCGCACCGACCAGCAGAAGGACTCTGCCCACCAGTTTTGAGACCACAATCTCTGAGGACTGATTAGGCGGGTTAGGCCCCGAGTCACTCCAGCCATAGAGACCATTAGACAGTAAATTGGTCTCCGGGACAAGTACTGTAGAAACCTAAACACAGCTTAACCACTTCCTGCGCGCAATGTACTGCGGCCAGAGAGTAGCTACAGGCAATGCAACGTAACCCGTGCGTTGCTCTGGGTGTACTAACACAAGTGGGCGGAATGAAGATCCTGGTGAACGGGACCGGGGCGATCACATGATCACAATGTAAGCAAAGCTGTTATGAATCAATCTCATTCATAACAGCTCTGCTTCTGTTCCTAGTGAGCTGTGAGTGGCCCACAGCTGTCACATGATAAATGGGGGGGCCAATCGCATCGCAGCACCCTGTACTATGTGAATGGCTCCAGCCAATCACAGATCACTATCTAGAGCTGTCAAAAACCTAACTCATTCATGACAGTTCATGAATGAGGAAAGAACAAACAGAGGGCGCACAGGCCTAGTGCATTACCATAAAAAAATGTTTAGTAAGAAATAAAGTAGGTGTGTACTCAGAAACGACAATAAAGTCAAGGCACATCATGAAAGAACAGCTGGGTCAGCACCGCGCTGAGTAACAGTCCGCAATAGGGAGTGTAGACATCCAATAGGCTGGCGCGTTTCGAGGACTTGCCTCTTCCTCAGAGCCCATGAATGAGTTTCATGACAGCAAGCTTCGCATTGCAGGAGAAATTATCTTTATTTCTCCTGCAAAGCAAAGTGTGTAAAAAAAAAAAAAAAATCCATGATAACCCCCCCCCCCCCCCAGAGTAGTAACATTGTACTATTCTGATAAAAGTATTTAAAAAAATGTAAAATAAAATAAAAAAATACCATTGAGAATTAATTAAAAAAAAAAAAAAAAAACCCTTACATTTTTTTTTTTTTTAACTACTATTACCTGCGGGCTACTTACCTGCATTTTGCGGGCAAGCAGCAGCTCTGGGCAAAGCGACGTAATCTTACATCGCTTCCTGTTTCGGGGTGTGAATGTGCCTGCGCCCACCGCTGGTCGGTCCAATGAGAGAACACCACGGTGAATAAAAGCATTACATTTTACACATGCACGTTGGATTAGCACATTTAACCCTTTGATCGCCCCTATTAACCCTTTAATCGCCCGTCACCCAACCAGTGCCATTAGTACAGCGTCAGTATATAGAACTAATCACTGATCACTGTATTCCTGCCACTAGCGACATCAGATGGGGTCAGTTGGCGCCACTCCTGGTCAGGGTCAGCTAGCGTTACATTGCCTGCACACACTATCGCACTCACACTACAGGTCACTGATCACCCCCATTACTAGTATAGTGTTTGTATGGATCAATATAATGATCATGAACAGAATTCTACTAGTGCCTGCTTCGTATAGTGTCCCCAAAAATGCAGTGTTAGCAGGATCGTCCCCGTTCACTACTAGGATATAGCCCCTCTGCTGTTTTTCACGGAAGATTTCTACCAATTGATTGTGGGCCAAGGCAATTTATATGCACAATACATCGCCGCCCACCCAAATTCAGCTCTTGCCAGACAGTTCACATGGAACCCTATCACGGTTTCAGGATTTAAAATTTTTTTTGGGCCTAACCCTCAACATGGGCATTACAGAAAAGAATGAATTGCGGTCCTATTGATCCACAGAGCCAATTCATCATATGCCCATGTTCTCTGCTGTTACATATATGCCCAACATGGACCAGTAATGTGCTGGTACATCGCTGGACTTTGAGTGTCATTTTCAAAAAATTTGTGGCAAAAAATAAATGATCCAGGGACTCAACATGCCTCTTTGCAAAATACTTGGGGTGTCTACTTTCCAAAAAGGGGTCATTTGGGGGGGGTTGTACTGCCCTGGTATTTTAGCACCTCAAGAAATGTGATAGGCAGTCAGAAAGTAAAATCTGTGGAAATTCCAATATATATACACCATAGTTTGTAGACGCTATAACTTTCACACAAACCAATTAATATACACGTATTGGGACTTTTTTTTTACTAAAGACATGTAGCAGAATACATTTTGGCCTAAATTTATGACTATCTTTGAGTTTATTGGATATTTGTTTATAATCAAAAGTGAACATTTTTTATCGTGTGGGGTTTTTTTTTTTTTTTTTTGTTTATAGTGCAAAAAGTAAAAACCACAGAGGTGATCAAATACCACCAAAAAGAAAGCTCTGTTTGTGTGAAAAAAGGAGATACATTTTGTTTGGGTGCAGCATTGCATGAACGCACAATTACCAGTTTAAATAGCTCAGTGCCGAACAACAAAAAATGGCCTGGTCATGAAGGGGGCAGGGGGGGTAAATCTTCCTGAGGGCAAGTGGTTAATGGTGGTGGACACATGAATGAACAGAAGAGGTTCTGGACTGGTATCACCTAATCAGCACAGAGGAGAACAATGCGTACTACCCTTCATATATGCCCCATTCCTTGACTTCTGGGCTTCACCAGCTTCAAACTCGGGTTCAGATTTCAGTGCTTTTTATTTTATTTCATCCCATACACCATTCTTTTGTCACTGAGTTTAACCACTTACCTACTGGGCACTTTTTACCTCCTTCATGCCCAGGTAAATTTTCAGCTTTCAGTGCTATTGCACTTTGAATGGAAATTGTGTGGTCATGCAACATTATACCCAGATGAAATTTTTATAATTTTTTTTCACACACATAGACCTTTCTTTTGGTGGTATTTAATCGCCGCTGGGTGTTTTTTACTTTTTGCACTATAAACAAAAAAAGCGAAAAATTTGGAAAAAAAATATCCTATCAAATACTTGCCATAATTTTTTTTTTTTTTCCTGACGGACTCCATGGCAGCATACGTATGGGTTCGTCCCGCCCTCTCTTCTCCTATAGGACCCCACTCCCATAAATCTTTGCTCCTCACCAGAGGCCGTGTTCCATAACTAGCCTACTCATGGCATTGGGAGGGTACTCCTGCTGCCATGGAGTCCATCAGGAAAATTATGGTAATTATTTGATAGTAAATTTTTTTTTTTTTTGCTGACGGACTCCATTGCAGCATACGTATGGGAAATAACTAGCCACACACGAGTGGGCAGTTACTCAAACAAAGACTTTAATTTTCCCCGTCAACCGACAGTACTTTCAAACCAAAATTAACAGAGGATAAGGAGGCAGGCTCTACATAGTAATGAGCCATAAATGTGTTGATTGAGGACCGTGGGGCCGCTCTGCAGATCATCACAGGCACGATATGCCAGGAAGCCGCCCAGGACGTAGCCACATTTCTGGTTGAGTGTGCGGTCACCACCTCCGGAGGCGCCAAGCCCTTACCTCTGTAGTCCATTTGTATGGTCTGGATAATCCAGTCCGCGATCAACCTGGGAGACGCCCGGTCTCCTTTTATCCTTCACATGGAAAAAGATGAATGGATGGACGGTCCAACCTGCGGAAGGATACTGTGACCCGCAAGTATAGCCTTAAGCTCTCGCTTATGTCCAGGGGGTGAGCATCATCGGCTCCCGAGGCTCTAAATGTTGGCAGGACAATCTCTTGCTTTGCATAAAAGACCGAGGTCACTTTAGGATTACAACCTAGCATAGAGATGAGGACCACTCGATCTGGGGGAAGAACGGCTCTTTACAGCCAAGGTTCCTGATTTCGGAGACTCTTTTTGCCAATGTAAGAGCCAACAGAAAGGCCATCTTGAGGCAGAGTTTCCTTGGAGGTCCAGCTGATTCTGGCACACCTCCAGAGAAGTCGAAGACAAGCAGCATGCCCCATTTTGGGAACCTTGGTTTCCTTTGGGGCCTCAACCATACTGCCCCTTTGAAGAATTGCTGAACCAGAGAGTGGTCGGCCCATAATACTCCAGTGAAGGCCGAGATGGCTGACAATTGAACCCTGAGGGTGCTTTCAATGGGCAGGTCCAGGCCAGACTGCAGAAATCCCAGGACATCCTGAACCCTCGGATTACTAAAGTTTCCATCCACGGTCGAGATATAGTCTGCGAACTTAGACCAGACTCTTCCATAGACGCTGTTAGTACTTGGTCTTCTGGCATTCATCAGGGTAGGGTGACTTCAGCAGGACAGCTTAAGGCCTCCAACCTCCCCCTCTCAAGAACCAGACCATTAAATGAAGCCGGGCTGGGCAAGGGTGAAGAATGGCCCCCTGCAACAGCAGGTCTGGCCTGAGAAGGAGAGGAACCAAAAGCTGAGCTGCAGCAGTAAGGGAAACCATGGTCTGTTTGGCCAGTATGGAATTACGATCACTACCTCCACCGCTTCTGCTCTGAGCCCCTGAAGAAACCTGAAGATGACAGGGACCGGGGGAAACACATAGGCCGTGCAAAGCCCCCGCTGATCCGTCAAAGCATCTACCCCAAAGGCCTGGGGACAGCGATTCCTGGTGTAGCACGGGGAGGCAAACAGGTCGACCTCCGGACTGATCCTGAGGGTCAGTATCCACTTGAAAACTCCTGTGTTGAGAGACCACTCGTTGTCCAATTGAACCCTGGAAAGGAAGTCTGCTTGCGAATTCTGGACTCCGGTGATGTATACTGCTGATATATTGGACAGGTTTCTCTGAGCCCAAGCCATGATTGGCTCTACCTCTCGCAAGAGAGACAGGCTGTGGGTCCCTCCTTCTCTCCTTATGTAGGACTATGCTGTCGTATTTTTGGACTGATTTCCCCTGTGTGAGGTGCTGGAAGGCCTGTAGGGCAGAGTGCCACTCATAATTCCAAGATGTTCGATCCCAACCTGTGGGAGGGAAAGCTCCATCTGCCCTGAGCTATCTCTGACTGGCAGAGAGCACCCCATCTGGAGTTGCTGGCATCCGTAGTGTTTGTGACCCAGGATATG